CTTATCCTGCGAGAGGAAGAGGAGAAAGGCAGGGCCCAGCAGCTGTAGCCCTGGCAAAGGGTTGGAAAGCCGAAGAAGCTGTGAAATAGTCTCCGTCGCTGCCCCTTGTTATTCTGTGCCCACTGCTCTGAGATAAATTGGGCAGACAGCCGGGGACTGGCTTCCTGACACCTGGGGACCTCCATCCATCCAACTGCTGCTGCACAAGCAGGCTAGCTGGCCACCTGCATATCCACTCCTGTGGGCGGGAGGCTCCATACCACCATGATTCTCAGATGTACACAGAGTGGTGATGAGGGAACAGTAGCCACAGTGGTTTTACTTCCTCCTTGGGTATTGTGATGTATGCCGTAGAGGCAGGAGCGCAGGAATCAGACCAGTTCACATTCTGAGTGCCTCAGGCTGCATGCTCTTGGGCAGATCCCTTACCTCTCTGGGCCTCAGTTTTCTGTTATGTTGAAGAGAAGGTAATGATAGAACCCACTTCATAAGGTTGTTGTGAGAATTTAAAGAGACATGCATGCTTCCTGGCCCGTGGAAGGCACCGTATGGATAGTAGATAGTGTTAGTGTTATCCAGATCAAAATACAGCTAGGAAGACCTTGTTGCCCCCTGTATCCGGAGAGACTATTGAGAAAGTCAGCGTACCCAGGAAGGGACCCATCTGGGCACAGCCAGGTATCATGTTTAGTGACTCACCTGGGCCTGGAAGGGTTGGATGTGCTTTCTGGGATAGTGAAGAGGTCAGCAGAGGAAGGGCTTGGGAATAGGACCCCATCTGGTGAGTAATGGGATGGAGTCCATCCAGCTGGCAAAATATGGTCCCTGGAGAGGATAGGGACCAGCAACAGCTGGAGTAGACTCTAGACACCTTTTTGGATATAGACCCAGCCTGTGACCCCTCCTTCTCTGGGAACCTAGGAACTTCTTCTGCCTTTCCCATGGCATTGTACCCCAGCAGCAGTGGCCATTCCACCTAGCTCTGCTCAAGGCCAGAGCCCATAGGATTGGAGTGGACACCCAGCCTGAGCTGGGCCCATCTGCCTGGAAGTTAGCATTAGAACGTAGAGGTGCTGTCACTCAGACCAGGAGGACATGAGCTCAGGAATGCCATCTGGTGCCCTGTGCCGGGACAAGTGGAGAGAATAGCCTGCAGATGGATGCACAGTGGAAGCAGAGAAAGAGACACTGTGAGGGAGGGAGAGGGAGAGGAGCTTAGAAAGTTGCTGCCTTGCTTCTTGAAGGCTTTCCAGGCAGCTTCTGGTTCCTGGCCCTCGTGAGGCCCAGCTGTGTCCCTGCCCGTGGACTCTGGGAGATACCTCGTGTCCTTATGTAACCAGCTTATTAAATGAGCTGGACTCAGTCAGGTGTAAGAAGAAATCAACCTCATTTTTTCCCCAGTGTCCATTCGAGCCTACTCTGTGGACTCTTTCTTTTCCTAGTCAAAGCTGAGAATTTAGCAGCCCCTTGGTCTTCCTGGTGTTAGGCATGAAACAGCCCAGTCTGTTCTAATAATCCGTCATTCCAGACAGTCCAGTGTGGTAATCGCAAGTCTGGACTCCTAAAGCCGACCGGCCTCAGAGGCCTGGAGTCGGGGAGGGTGTGAGGTCAGCTTCTTTGCCAGATCCCCACCAGTCCTGCGACCTCCCCCACTTGCCCACTGAGGTTTCTCGCCCTTCGGGTTAGAACAGGGGGAGGGTCAGGGAGGGGGCAGGGCCCATCCTCCAGGGCCAGTGGTAATCCAGAGGCCCCGAGCTCTTTTCCCCTCTTTGCTGCTGCTACTTCAGAATTTCCCTTCTGAGCCCATCTGACTCAGCTCCCTTGATGGGGCAATGCCTCTCCTCCAGCTGGCCACCTACCGCTCCTTCCCTGTCCTCCACCCCTACTCTCCATGCAGCCCCTGGCCCTAGGGAGCCTGAATCTGTACCCCCTCGGCTCCTCAGTGGGCTGGCCATGTGCATCCCGCACGGCCCTCCTCCTGCTCTCGTGCGTCTGGCCCTGAGTCAGACAGGACTGCTTTAGCTCGCCTGTGCCAGGCTCTGGGAATTGTCCCCTGAAGTCCCTCTCGCTTGATTTAGGATGAGGGGACACCCTCCCTCCCTGTGGTGGTGGGGGACATATCACAAGGATAGCTTCCCCTTCCCCAGGATCTTCCTCCTGCACTTCTTTTTTTCTGTCACCCAGGCTGGAGTGCAGTGGCGTGACCATAGCTCACTGCAACCTCAAACTCCTGGGCTCAGGCGATCCCCCTGCCTCAGCTTCTCGAGTAGCTGGGACTACAGATGCACACCACCAAGCCTGGCTAATTTTTCTTATTTTTTTAGAGATGGGGTCTTACTATGTTGCCTAGGCTAGTCTGGAACTCCTGGGCTCAAACAATCCTCCCACCCCAGCCTCCTGTTGCTGGGATTACAGGTGTGAGACCCTGTGCCTGGCCTTTCTGCACATCTTACACAGGCTTTGTAGACAGTCAGCTAAATCTGTAGAGCCCATTTTAGGCCACCCCCTTCGCAGGGAGGGTCTTGCATCTTGCTCTAGTATGTGGGATACTGGGCAGCTATTATTTTGTCCTTAGCCTTTAGAGTCTCAGATAAAACTGGGGCAGAAAGAGGGCCTTTTAAACATCTTGTTACACTTAAAATGCACCTTTTCTTGTTTAATCTAATTGTCTGGTTTTCTCTTACTAGAATCAGTGTCTTGACAAGACTGTGCAAAAGCAATGAGGTCATATTAGATTAGGGGGGACCCCTTGAACTTTCAAAGAGTGTCTGTGGATTCTGAGCGTGGTAGACTCCCACTGCCATTGTTTTCAGTAATTCATAGGTTTCTCTTTCAATCTTGCTCAAATTGGCAAGATTTGGGGGAGGAGGTCCTGTTTAGTGTCATGTGTTTGGAGAACATCACTGTCTTCCTGCCTTGTTCCCCACACAAGCCCAGCAGGTGGGTGCCCCCCGAGTGACTAAGGTATTGGCCAAAACTGGGATGCAGGGGTTTGTCTCGGGTAGGAGAAAGTCTGGGCCTCACTGACTGACTTCTGGGTCTGCAGATGCACCCACCATGGAGACCTTAGTAATAGCAGGACTCCTATGACTGTAGGCCTTAAAAGGCCATAGCCTGGGATGGGAGAGGAGGAGTGTTGATCTGGCTGTGTCAGACCCCAGGATGCTGACTGGCTGTTTGCTAGTGGGTGGAGCAACTCAGTGGGCACCAGGCTCAGGGAACCTGAGTACAGCTCTGTACTCTTTCTTGCCGCTGGTATAGTGAACTGACCCCCTCTCATTTCACTCCAGGGAGAGCTGGTTCCACATTTCCAATGGGCTGATTCCTTCCTGTCCTTCCATATAGCTTGGGTGTGGTTTGATGAAGATTCAGGCTTGATAGACTCTAGAGGAAACAGCTGGTGTCATGGCCTGCTTTGATTTGGATCCCAACTAGTCTAGAAAAAGGGTTGTTCCACAGCTTCCAGTGTGGCTCTCCAGAGCTCTCTGCTTTGGGGTTTGGACCCAAGACCAGTGACCAGTAAGGCTGGACCTTGTTTTTCTCTGCCCTGTTCCCTCCATCCCACACACTCCACTCCAGATGTGTGGGGAGGGGTGGCGACGGTCTGGGCCAAGGTTGAGATATTTTCATCAGATAGTATCCAAATTGCGCTGTGATCCCAACAGCTGACTAGGGGGTTGGGAGAAGGGAGTTGAGAACTGTTACTTGGTGCCTGACTCTCGGCACCTTCTGGATTAACTGTTGCTGGGGCATTCTTACCAGCAGTCTGGCTTCAAGCCTCATTTTCTCCTGTAAAATGAGAATAATAATCCCTCCTTCACGGAGCTGCTGTGAAGGTGACACAAACAGATGTCTACTTCTAAGCACATAGTAGGCTTTGATAAACATCAGTCTCTCCCTAACTATGACTTTCCTAGAAAAAAACTCTACTTGGTCATTAGGAAGAGAGATTGTGGGGCCAAGGGTATAAGTACACTTAAAATTTTGATATATACATTGCCAAATTACTCTTTAAAAATGTTGAGTCAGTTTATACTTCCATCCATAGCTCATCGAGAGCACGTTTCTCTGTTCCCTTGTCAGCATGGAGATTGACGTTTTTTTTGTCTTTGCCAGTCTGAGAGGCAACGGGTGATGGCTCATCCTTCACAGTAACCTCTCTGGTTGTTACTGTGGTTGACATCTTTTCTTGTTTACCGGCCATTTGTGAGTCTTCTAATGTGTTCATGTGCTTTGCCAAGTTTTCTATTACAGTGTTTGTATCTTTCTTAATATGAAAGATTTTTTGGTATAGTATAAATATTCCCTATTTGCTATATATGTTGCAAGTATTTTTCTCTTGTTTGATACTTGCCTCTCAATCTTGGTCATGCTTTTTTTTTTTTTTTTTTTAGAAGACAGAAAATTTGGTTTTTTAAAAAGTCATATGTCTTAGTCTTTTCCTTTCTGTTTTTCGGGCTTCCCATCATGCCTAGAATCACCTTCCCAACCCACAGATGGCCGGTTCTGGCAGCCAGTGTGGGAGCTGGGCTGGAATGCGTGAGGTGGAGGCTCCTGGTCAGGGCCTGTGGCAGTGGTTGGAGGGAGAGGAGAGGAGCTGCTCTGCCGAGGCAGGCGGGGCGGCTTGGTGCAGAGGGATGAACTGGCCTTGGCCGGGGGAAAGGGAGACGTCCTTGTTTTCAACCTGAGCAACGGAGTACATGCTGCCACTTGGTGAAATGGGACCAGACCTGGAAGAAAGGTGTTTTAGGTGTTAACTGCACTGCCTTGAGGTGCTTCCGGGACATCCAGGATGCAGCTGGATGTGAGGAGGTGGAGCTCAGAGAGCCTTCTCGGCCTGAGGTGCTGTTGCAGGACTCCTGGGGTATAGGTGGAAAACGAAGACAGTGAGAGTGTGATTGCAGTGATTTTGGTGTATGCCCTGGGGCTCAGTCTCTTCCTGGTTTTACCTAAAGAGGATCTGGCACGCCCCAGGAAGGCATTCTGAAACAGTAACACAGTGTAGATACATCCAAATAGCACTGATGGCTTTTATTGCAGATTTGTGTCATTACAAGGATAATCTGGGAATATATTTTTTAAAAAACCCTCCCTTTTATATACAAAAAACATGCTACATGGTACATTTTGTGAGAAATGCTGAGGTAATAGGCACGCACCCAGACATGGACAGTACCAAACATCTAACATCTCGCACACCCCGGCCCACGTACCCACGTGCCCACGGGGAGGGTCTCACCTTCTTATCTCATCCCTAGCCTCCTGCTTGGCAACAGTCCTGGAGTACTGAGGCTGACGCTTCGTGGCTGGCAGGACTCAGAAAGCCACCGTGCTGCAATGCCCCAACCAAGGGGTCCATGACCCAATTATTCAGTAACTCATGAGAAGTGGCCAGTTCTTGTTTTTGTGGCACCTGTTCTCCAGGGAAGTACAGTTTGGGGAGGAGATGCAGGCTCCAGCTGGCCTGAGAGCATGGGACCTCTGGTCTATAGCCATTTGGGGGCCCCGATGATCTGATGACTTCTCTTCAACTGAGTATCTCCTGGCAAGGTAGGTTATTATTTGTGTGAAGGCTAAAATGACATGTAGGCTAAAGTATGAAGGGAAGATACAAAACTGCGGATACGTTATCTATGTGGCCGGTATAGCTCTTGGCCTGGCCTTCCCTTTCCCAACCAGAAACCTGGAGCCCAGACTGTTTCCTGCTCAGAGGCTGAGGAATCTTGCCTGGACCAAAAGGGCCGCGCGACAGAAAAGGCAAAGAGTAGGTAGGCAAAGAGTAGGGCAGAGCGGAAAAGGGGCCTTGAACTGCAATGAGTGGCCAGGGACTGACACCCAGAGGGCACTGAATGAATGGTGTCGGATGAATGAATGAGTGGGTAGGTAGATGGTGAAAAGTCCTGAGAACAGGGAGAAGTATAAAAGTGGAGAGGGAGGGGGATATTGAAATTGATTAGATGCCCAAGCGGTTTCTTGAGAGAGGCAGCCAGGAACCCCTGTGTGAGAGAATAGCATCGTAGAAAGTCCTGGAAGAATCCAGGCACGCAGACACCGAGGATTATTCCGTGAGTTGAGACTGTACAGTCTGTGACCTGTCCTTAGACTCAAGTAACACAACATTAACCAAATGCTTTTTTCCTAAGAGCAAAGCTGTTGGTAACAGCTTCCACATCTGAGAATTGACTACATGTGTATTTGGGGATGTAAGATAAACATATATATGTATCTAGTCATATCACATGTGATATATGTCTAAATGCATATATATGTGGTATACACATAAGTGCTCAAGGGAGGCTCATACACATGTATATTATGAGGGTATTTTGCAGTTGTGTTTTTATTGTGGGGACTTAATTTATTTAAAGAAAGAGTTGTCTGTAGTCCTGTCCTGGAAACATGAGGGGCTGTCTGGTGTGAAGAACAGGAGGAGGGACAGAGAACACTGTATCAGTTCCGTTCTGTTATCTGCCACAGTGACTTGGGAAAACAGAGTCCAGCATCCCGGTCCTCCCAGCCCCAAGATGAACTGGTGAGGAGTTGCTCTTTGTGCTGGGGCCAGTGTGGCCAGGGTGGGCTCCTGTCACTGGCCATAAGAGGTCAGGAGGGCCTGGCTTAGTGAAAGGTGTTGGGGTTGGGCCGGATCATCATCACCACTTTCTTGAGCGAGTAGGAACCTCCTCGGAACTCAGCCCAGTAGACCCCATCCTGGTAGCGACTCCGGTAATGTCCTCCGCGGTACCAGACGCCATTGAGGTTGGAGTGGGCACAGGCGTTATACCACCAGCCTCCCTTCTGGTAGTGGGCACAGTTTCCTGCGGAAAAGAAGGCAATGAGAAGGTCTGTGGGAGGAGACGATTTTACCCACATCCATGGTTTGCTTGGGTCTTCGGCAGGCCCCTCTCCGGAGGCATTTGGAGCCAGAAGCTAGAGAGGTGAACGGGTCTCGAGGGGTGGCGGAAGGCCGGGCTTCAGACCTGCTCAGGCCTGCCTTTGAGGCTTGGCTTTGTGACTGACTAGCTATGTGGTCTCAGACAAGCAACTTAACCCCTCCTAGCCACTGTATTCTCATCTGTAAAATGAGGATAAAAATGACACCTACTGCACAGGACTCCTGTGAGAGTTCGGTGAAGGCATGTTGGATGCTAGCCGAGGCTGGGTGTGCAGGAGGCCCCAGCAGGACCCTGCACCTCGGTTCTGATGGGGAGAAGGCCTGAGGTGGGCTGGGGAGGGAGAAAGGGCTTTTCTGGGGAATTGTTAAGAGTCAAAACTGTTGGATCAATAATCTTTATAGAATGACAAGAGTGTTTAAGAAGAAATGCTCGTCCACTGCTCCCCAGCCTGTATTCCATCCAAATTTTTTGTATTATTTCACAAAAGAAAGATATTTCCATAAAACTCTTGGCATTATCACATCAGGAATTTTGCTGCCAAGGACAGGCAGTTCGGAACAGCAGTAAAACGCGTGGGCAAGGTGCACGCCGGCACGCAGGGCCGTCACACTGCATGGGGAGGAGCAAGAGGAGCTGCTATCAGCTGCGGCGTCCCCAGTTTCCTGACTCAGCCCTAGGCCTGGGGAGGGGACCCCTCCTCAGGGAGGGTCCGCTGGTCTGGGTGGCCGAGGTCATGGGCCAGGGTGAGATGGTCATAGGCAGTCTGAGGCAGAAGGCGAAAGGGGGACGCAGCCCATCGTCAGCCTCCTGGTCGCCAGTGAGGCCCCTCCTGCACTTGGCCCACACACCTCCAGGGACTGGGAACTCACTTCCTCACCATCCACTGATTTTGCTCCTGGACTGATCTGACAGTTTTGGATTGTGGAATCTCTTCTGCCTGCTCCCTGGGAGTGCCCTCAAGAACTGCTGTCGCAGTCCCCATGTCCCAGGGTCTACTAGTTCTGGGGGTCATCCTCCTGCCTTGCTTTTGTGGAAGCCTCGGTAGCTCTGGCCTAGGAGACCCACTGCTTCAGAACAAGGGTGTACTCCTCCTCCAGGGAACCTTCGAGCAGGGTCAGTTCAGTGTCAGTGGGTGGACAGAGGTGTCTACATGGTGCAGGTGGGTCATATCTCTCCTGGCCTCTGATGTCGGGAGAACTACCTGCCAGAGTGTGGTTACCATGGTGACCTGGAGTGAGGAGGCCACCAGCTGAGTATGCAGGTGTCAGGGCTTGCCTGTAGTGCAGGCCATTTCTGGGACAGTCAGAGCTCACTCCTTGAAGGGGAGGGAATGGCCTTCAGACCATGATGACAGGGGAAGCTAGGGCAGGAGACGATGTTGGCGGTCAGATGGTGCTGGCCTCACGGAGGAGCTTGGGCCCTACTGACCTCACCAACCTGTTAGGGCCCAGAGGCCCTCATCTCAAGAAGTTGGGTGTGGGGCCTTGGGAGGCATTAAGTGTGGGGGAGTCTCATGTCTGAACTCAGGGCTGCACCATATCTGTGCTGCTTATAATTTTATGTTTTCTTCCTTGCTTTTTATTTAATAAAGACGTCTTAGCAAAGACCTAGATTTGAAGCATGGGATCTTAGACAGATCACTTCATCTCTCCTCTGGTTTTCTCTTATAGCTTCCTTACAGCATTGCATGAGCATGAATGCTGATAACAGTCACCATAAAGATAGCCCGCTTTATTGAGCCCTTACTATACTGCAAGTCCCAGACAAAGCACCTTACGTACATTCTCTCTGGCCTTCTCCCTACTCTGCAAGGCAGTTATCGTCCTTACTTCCAGATGCAGGAACTGAGACCCAAGAAGATTAAGCAGCATGCCCAAGGACACGTGACTGGGTAGGAGGTGGAGCTGGCATCGGAGCCCAGAGTGGATGGCCCAGGCTGGCGGGGATGTGTAGCACCACACCAGGTGCCTGAGACCAGAGGTCGCGAGGCCACAGCCCAGCACGTGTGCGACTGCCTTGGCCCAGGGCAGCCCTGCTATATACCTCTTTTTTGTCTTTCTGTAAACGCCACTCTGAGCCAGTGTTGTGACAGGCTCTGTGGGCAGAGAAGGGACCTTCCGGGTAGGAGCAGGGCCAGGCAGCTTGGCCCAGCTGGCCACATCTCCCCTCCAACCCGGGAATCGGGCCCTGGCTTTGGGTGACCTTGTTTCCCTGCCCTGCACGGGGCTTCAACTCCACTTTTCGTACCTGTGTAGACATCATGGTCTCTGTCCAGCGTGGTGAACTGCTTGCCATTGTGCCAGGTGAAGGAGTCGCCTGCGTTGCCATGGTAGCGCCCCAGCCGCAGCTTGTAGTACTCGCTCTCAGGCTCCAGGCGAAAGCTGGCGTATTCGGCAAAGACCTTGCGGCCAGACCAGTCCTCCATGGTCACCAGCAGTTTGTAGTTGCCTTGGTTCGTGAGCCAGTAAATGTTCTCCAGGCCCAGCCAGTACTCACCGTCAATGTTCCCAAACCCTTGCTGCGGAAAGCCCAGGAGAACGTTAGTGTGGAGCCTGCGGCGCCCACAGCCAGCAGGCCTGACCAGCGGCCGCCGGACACCCTGCCCTGGATAGAGGGGCCCAGGAACAGGAGAGCACGAGGCAGGCTGGTTCAGCCCCCACTCCCCACTCCACGGTGTAACTTGATGAGTCACCTTTCTGAGCCTCAATCACATACCATTCAAAGACACGCAGACAGCCCGCTCTGTGCCAGGCACCACGCGAGCCCCATTCCTCACCCTCACGCGGGGTTGCTGCAGGAGCCGTGTGCCGTGGTAAACTGAGAGCCTGGCACACAGTAGCACGCCATAGGCAATCCTTGGAAAAATCCCTTAACTTCCCTGAGCTTCAGCCTCCTCCTCTGGGAAGGGGCTGTACGTGAGGGTCACGTGCAAGCTCTAATGCACCAGAGAGGTGTGAGCTGTGACAGATGTGTCCCATCCACCTGGGCTCCCTTCTAGGTCTGAAACCCACTGGTTTTGTTGTTATTATTCTTTACATGTAGTATGGGACTCATCAGTTGAGTGATAGCCACTGAAGTCTTGAAAATGGGTGATTCATCAATAATAATAGCTAGTATTTAGTGAGCACTTGTGGTGTGCTGGCACTGTTATAAGAACCTTACATAGGTTGTGTTATTAATCCTCATGCCAAGCCTAAGAGCTAGGCACCATCACCATCCTCCCTAGAACGGGTGCACCAAAGCCCAGGGTCACAGAGCGCCTGAGGGTGGGCCAGGATTTGAAGGCAGAACCCAGTATCAGTCATTGTGCTGTACTGGCTCTGCGAGGGAGAGGAGGGAAGAGTGAAGACCTGAGTCTTCAGGAACCTGTAAATTAGGAAGAGGAGGAGGAAGAGAAGAAGGAGGAGGAGAAGAAGGAGGAGGAGGAAGAGAAGGAGAAGGAAGAAGAGGAGGAGAAAGAAGAAAAGGAGAAAGAGGAGAAGGAACAGGAGGAGGAGGAAGAGAAGGAGGAGGAAGCAGAGACACAGGCCTGTCAGGAGGTGGGGCGGAGGACAGGAGGAGACCCAGGAAGGGCTGTGACTGACAGCTGTTTGTGGGCTTTGGCGTCAGAAGGCCTAAGCTGCAGTCACTGTGTTGCCATTTCCTAGCTTAGCAGCCCTGAGCAAGTCACTTCACCTTTTCACTTGTGAGCTGGGTTGATGACAGTGCCTCCCGCAGGGGGGTGGCATGCGATTAAGTGAGGTGACGCATGAAAGTGCGTAGCACGGTGCCTGGCACGGAGCTGGCACCAGTAAATGTAGCCATTCTCTCTGTCCTTAGTACCACCTCTGTGTATAGAGGAGAGAGAGCCATGTGCGGCTGGGCCCTAGCAGCCTTTTCCTCTATGAGGATGAACATTTCAGTTCCCTGGGAACTGGGGAGCCCAGAGGATAAGCCCTGGAATTAGGAGCCGGGTATTGGCACAGACTCCTACATGGACTCTTTGGGGATCCTCCCAGGGCCTGGGAGCCTCAGGACTTGCCCCTTCTGGGCTTCAAGAGCAGTCTTTCCCCACGGAAGCCCCAACCCGGGGTGAGAGGCTCCCTAGGCTGGAGCAAGGGCCCCATGCCAGCATTTCTGAACTTCCCACCCTGTCCTACGGGGCTTTGGTGCTCTGCACTACCAACTCTTGTCCTGCAGCAGTTGCAGCAGCAGGCAGAGAAGGAGCAGGTCCTCACTACCCCCTGGCAGTTTTGCCAAATTTGTTCTGTTTGTGTCCCTCTTGCCCCAGGTATATTTGCTGTCTGGGGCCACACAGGCCCTGCCTTGGTCAGCGTGCACCTCCCTCTGAGTGGCTGTTCCCTGGCTATTTAGGCCTCTCTTGGGGTGGGCCAGTCACCTTGCGGGTGGCACAGACAAATCCTGCCCGATCTCACCTTATATGTCTCCCAGTTCCTGAAGAAGTTGACAGACCCATCCAGCCGTCTCTGGATGACGGTCCAGCCCCCAGGGTCGTGCCTCTGGTCACACCACACCTGCATGAGGCGGTTGGTGTTCTCTGGTTTCACTAGGTAGATAGAACTGGTGTCGTGACCATCCTCCAAGGCCTGCAGGCAGTCTCTCCACGGGCCTGGGGACACAGACACGCACACGTCACAGACCTGCCTGTCACCAGGCTACACCCCTGCTGCCCCTGCAGCAGGCACAACCTCTGGCAAGGCTTTGGCTGGGAGCCGCAGGCTTGCAGTTTAAGGGGACCAATTTTTGTTTTGCAAATTTGACAAATAATATAGCATGAAAACAGCCTGGGATTGGGGGGTCAGGGTGCCTGGACTCCGAGCTCACTTCCTCCCCTCACTCCCTCGGTATGACTTTGGGAAGGCCTGCTCATTTCTCCCAGCCCTCAGTTTCCCTCATTTGTAGATGGGAGATCATATTTCCCTCATTCGCTGTTGTCAGGATTACTGAGCTCATTTGGATGGAAGTTCTTGGAGTGATTTTTTTAAAGTTAGTTTTATTGGCAAAGAGAGGTGTGTGCCCACTAAACGTAGCAACACCAATCAGTGCAGCATGGCCTCGGATGGCTTTGCTCCAGCAGGCAGACTGCTCCCCTAGACTGCTCTTCCTGAGTCCTGGGGGCCAAGTTCGATGGGCACACCTCAATTCCGATTCCACAGTTGCTTTTCCAATGACAGCGCTTCATGACGACTTCTGCAGTTTTTAGTAAATGGACTTCCACAGAGTCACGGGCCCAGGCTATGCCCAGAATTTGACCATGTAGCCCAAGACCTCAGGATATTTCTGGGATTTGTACATTGGTCTCCAACCATCTTTTTGGGGGGACCAGGTTCCCTTTCTGCTCAGTCTGTTATTTTCCAAGGGAAGCTCACTGAAGGCTAGGTGCTCAGAACTCACTCTGTGAGGTCTGTAGGCAGGTCCGTGAACTTAAAGGCTGATGTCCAGGAGACATCCCAACCCATAGCTCTCTTCGGGAACTCAGACCACCAGGGTGCTGTGATTCTCGGTGACTTCACTACACTCAGGCAGCCCAGGCAGAAGGAATGGGTATCTCCCACCTTCCCTAGTGGCTTCCTATATTTTGATGTCGGTCACATCAGCAAGAAGGTACAAACTTGAGTCACCAAGGTCTGGACAAGATGGGATCTATCTTTTTGATCTGAAGAATCTTCAGGAGGTTTCAAGGCTCAGCCATTCAAATACATATTTTAAAATAAATAAAATCACCACACTTTGCTTCAGTCTCTTCAAAATATTCCCAGATTGAGAATGGTTAAAAACAAAAGTGCTAAGGAAATTCCATCTTGTTCTATTAATTTGTGTATTTATTTAACAACCATGTATTGGGTCCCAGCCCCCGTAGGGGCTGCACTGATGCCCAGTAGAGGGGAGCTGCCCTCACACCTCCTCTCGATTGCATTCTGGGGAGTCCTGTCCTTTCTCTTCCTGGGGGTGGGGGGGTAGGGATGCCCGCCAGTGGCAGGTGTAGTCAGCCCTTCCTGTGCAGATCGAACTTCTCAGATTCCTTCCATCCTGGCTGGTGATTGGGCTCAACTAGTTCACAGGTGATGATCAAATAGGAAAGATGCAGGTTTTTGGTCTTTGTTGGACTTCTCAGGTGGGTTTTCCTGAGGCCTTGCCGCTATGTCTGAGCACCTCCTGGAACCTGGCTGGGGGCAGGAGCTGTCTTGCTCATCCCTCAGTCCCCAGCGCCTGACACAGCACTGGGAAGAAAGGTGGGTTTGGGCGCTGACAGTTAGTCTGAGGGGCTTCTCCCTTCATCTCCCAAGGAGAAGCTCCTCTCCCCCACAAGGGATGGGGGAGAACCCGAGCACCCCACCACTGGGCAGCAGAGGTGGCACAAGCAGCACTTCCTTTGCCTGATGCAACTTCCTGCCTTTGGCCCCCCTCAGTATCTGTCCTGGGGAAGGGGAGGCCAGAAAGAGCATTCACAAAGAAGAAAAAAGTTTTGATTGTGTTCAGCCCAAGCCCCAGGGACCGAGGCAGAGAATGGGAGTGTGTCCCCGCCAGCTGGAGCAGAGCACCAGTGGGCTTGGGAGGCCTCCCAGCTCCTTACCAAGGCAGCAGCTCAGGAGAGGCCGTTTGATGCAAATGCTGGTGACGGAGGATCCAGCAGAAACCTGCGGAATGATGCCCCCTGAGAGCAAGCAGCAGACCTCTTCCTGCAGAGCACGCAGGCCACCAAGAGTTGTCAGACAGAAGGAGAGTGGTGGCCTCAGGGCTCCAGCCTGAGCTGCTTTTGTGGGTGCCCTCGATGGTTTCACTTTACCTTTGGCGTTTCTACAAAGGATGCTTTTTAAAAGGCAAGCGTTTGAAAATGTTTTGGGGCCACCAGTTCCTTTAAGAATTTGGGGAAAACTATCCTCTATTCAGAAAAATGCACAGACTCACACAGTTTTGTATATAGTCTCAGAAGGTAAGTGGACCCCCGAAGTCCAGGTTATGAACTCCCAGCTCTGAACGAGTCCTGACTGGCAGAGCAATAGTGAAATAACAGCCAGTGCGTCCCAAGCATGTCTCAGGTGCCAGGCCCTGTTCCTGGCCCTACCCACGTGTTTCCACACCTGACCCTCCTGACCTCCTCCGCAGCACCAGTCTCCCTACTTTACAGTGAGGAGACCAGAGCACAGGGACCTGAGGGGACACCCTAAGGTCACATGGATTGTAAGAGGCAGAGCAGGCACACACACCCAGGGGTCCTGGTGTCCAGAGCCCACGCTCTAAAGCCCGCTTCTTTCTCCCGAGCCAGAGTGAACCCAAGGGGAGGGAGCCCAGGCTGACTTACCTGTGTCCCTAGGACTAATTTTAATCTTTGCCAGTCAGCCAGGTTAAAAAAATAAAAATTTATAGTTCTCCTTTGTAAAGTTGTTAAACCTTTAAAAATCTATATTGGTGATTTTTTCTTCTATGCATACCTTTTGGTGTCCACTGCCTATTTTCAACTATGAGTATTTTAGTATCTTTTATGATATAGAAGTAGTTTTCTTTTTTTTCTGAGATGAATCTGATGATTCTTCAGGGCTTTCTAGAGTGGGTATAAAATAGGTGGAAGTGTCTGGTATTTGCTGTTACAAAAAAATCTCCGTATGTCTCTGTGCTTCACATGGCTCTCAGGACCCATTAGCTCCCACCAAGAACCACACATCCAGATACAGTTTCCCTCAGAAACCCTTAGGAGAGCTCTACAAAATCTCTTGCATTCAAACACATCCCCTTTTCATACACTAAAGGCAGCAGCGCAAAGGTCAGAAACTTAAAGGATGGATGAAAATTTGCCAGAAAGACAGTTAACATTGAAAAATTGGCAGCAGCAAAATTGCCATGTGGAGCCATTAAAACGGCCAAACCAAAACATCCTACTTTGATGAGAAATCTACAACAGCAACATATAAATCATGCAGTGATGAGTCTGTAATTGTCACATACGAATAATGACATTGTGGAGGGCCAGGAGACGTGTCTGACCTTCACTGAGGAGCCCGTGGTTGACTCCGCGCTTGGAGTCAGGAGCCCGCGGCACCAGTCTTGGCGGCTTCGCCTACTCACAGTGTGACTTTGGGCAGGTTCCGCATTGAGCCTCAATTTCTTATCTGTAAAATGTGGAAAGGACCCTAGCTGTCTGAGGGTCTCGCGAGCACAAGAGCACCCAGCGTGGAGGCCAGCCAGGGCAGGGGCTCAGTGAAGATTATCCCCTTTTTTCCTCTGATACACGAAAGCTGACATTTCTGAAGCTGTTCGTCCCCCACCCGCCACCACATACATGTGTTACTATATTTCCTTTTCAATTTCCAAGACTAAATGTAAGATCGTTTACTAATATATATTTTCCACAAGGCATATTTTAAAAGTCAGAATTTCAGAGGAGAGGGCCACAAAGATATGTTGAAATAAGGAATGGAAATCTTTTTTGTCAATGAAACTGAATTTTCAGTGTGCAGTGGGCAAAGCGCTCCCTTTGGAACAGTGCAAAGTGTCCGGGCGGTATTTAACTTGGCTTCCCTTCTGAGAGGGCAGCTCTGCCTGGAGCACCAGGCCAACACTAACTCGGCGGCACCTGGGCTCCGAGAGCAGTGAGCGCCTCGACCTCATCTCCATAAAGACCATATTTACACTCTCAGCAGAGCGGTAGCCGAATGTTCCACGTGGAGAGAAGTGCAGCACCGCAGCCAAGTTGAGTCTGTGTGGCTCCCTGGAGAAGCAGGGTGGGGAGAGCACACAGGGCCCGGCGTAGCAGGCCTGCGAAAGGGGTGTTGGCAAGTGGGAACACTGCCCCGAGCCCCAGGGCTGAGCCCTGGCAAGTGTTAGAGGAGAGCGGGTTGGGGTGCCTAAACTCCTCCCCGCTTCCCTCCTGCTACCAGGGATCAGGCGCACGGGGAACACAGCCTCCTGGGAAATCAGCAGCCGCTTGTTTAACGGCTGAGTAGGTGCTCGCTACCCACAGTGCGGGGCCTTTCTGCTAAAGCCGAGTTGGAGCTGGCAGCTAGGCCAGGCCGAAGTGTAAGCAGAACTTCCTATTCCCAGATTTCTCCCTGTGGTTCTGGGGCAGAACAGCGTCAGCCTGACTCTACCCACCCAGGCCTGGTGCAGAAATGGGCTCACACCCTGCAGGAGCCTTCAGTGCAGTGACCTCTCCCACTGGGGAAACGTGGCTCCCTGAGTCTCTGACCTTGAGGTTGGGAGCTGAGAAGCGGGGTCTCTGGGGGCAGGAGGGCGGCCTCTTCTCCCTGGCCGTGCCACGGGGAGAAGAGCAGAGTCCTTCTGGGCCGTGAGTCGGACTGGACCACGTGGCTGGCCAGCGGTCTGATAGGCCTCTCCACCCACGAAACCCAGCCCCAAGTGTCAGGACCTGGCCACCTTAGGCCGTGTGGAGTACCCCATGGCCCGTGGGAAACATTCTGGGGAGCTTTCAGTTCTAGGGAGCTGCTCCTGGGAATGTTTTAGTCCATACGTGGGCACTGGGGAGAGGCTTCTGGGATATCTCTAAGACACATTCCGCTTTTACATGAGAACTGTATGCTGTTTTCAATTATTCTCACTGATGGTCTTTCTCCAAAAAGTCTTTTTGCCACTCCCTGAAACATTTTTCTAACA